ATCTTGATTCTCATTTGGGGCAATCTTTCTGTGCCCTGGTTCCTTCTTACTAATCCTTATTGGGGCCAGTGCCCACACATCCATCCATGAAATAACAGACACCTAAAGACACTGGATAAAATATAAATAGGTCGTATAAAGTCAATTTGTTCAAATTAGAAAAGGCAACTCCCTGTTACAATTATAAAAATTAAAAAATGAAATGTTAGAATATGTTACAAATACTAGAACAACTCCCTTCCCCCAAGAGAAGTCTTACTCCATCAGAGCTGTATAATATGAGTAATAACAAATTTAAGGTAGATATCATAATCATGTTGGTGAATTAAGAAAACCAGTAAACATCAAAAAGAAGACATCATAAAGATAATTATGCTACCATTATTAATAGAACTAATGAACTAAAAAAATGCTAAATTTAAAAATACAAGAGAGAACATCCACAATATTAAATATAAGTAGTATAGAGAATTATGGAACCTAAATTCACAGTGTTGGAGAACATATAAATAGAACAAAAAGGGAAAAATAAGTTAAAAATAGAGAAAATATAGTAAAACTGATTTATTATAACATAAAAAGATATAGTATCTGTATCATGAGGGTTCCAGAAGGAAAGCGAACATGAAAGACATAGTAAATGTATTTAAATAAATAATTATGAAGCGTCATCTCAATACGGAAAATTAATTAGTCATTCTGATTCAAGATGTATAGCGTTCCAAAAAATAATACCATACGGATTATGTTGAGTGATGTAAATCAAAAGTGAAAGACAGATTTTGAATGCTTTCACTCATCTGGAGAAAGTAAATAAACCAAACCAATTACAGACAAACAATAGAAGAAATAAAAATACAAACTTGGCAAAAAATAAAGAAGATAATGGTTACCAGAGGGAATAGAGGAAAGGATGAAAATAATGAGGTAGGAGACAGATGGTGTAAGAAAGAGAACAGGTGGTTTGTTGGAGGGATATAAAAAAGTAGAGAGATTTTACTTAAAAAATATGGCATTCCTTGCAAACTAGTACAACCACTATGGAAAACTGTTTGGAGGTTCCTCAAACTGCTAAAAATGGAGCTTCCCTATGACCCAGCAATCCCACTCCTCGGTATCTACCCAAAAGACACAAAAATATTGATTGAAAAAGATACTTGTACCCCCATGTTTATTGTTCTTTATTTACAATTGGAAAAACATGGAAGCAGCCCAAATGCCCAAAAGTAGATGACTGGATTAAAAAGATGTGGTACATATATACAATGGAATATTACTCAGCAACCAAAAAAGGGAAACACATGTCTTTTTCAGCAACTTGGATGGAGCTAGAAAAGATCATGCTTAGTGAGATAAGCCAGAAAAGAGAAAGAAAAATACCGGATGGTTTCACTCATAGCAGGAGTATAATGGACCAGGTGGAAAATAACAAAAATAATGAACAACCATATACCAGAGACATTTTGTGGGGGTGGAGTGGGGAATGGGTTCAAAAACGGGGTGGGGGGAGGGAAATGCACGGGATTATGGTGATGGCACATGGGTGACTTGGTGATGGGAAACCCGCGGGGATTACAATTGAAATGGAAAAAAAATGTACAAAATGATGTAAAAATAAACTTTTGTAATAATAAAAAAAAATGGCATTCCCTAGTGGTTTAGATAAGTCTCAGATCTATCACCACTGTGGCCTGTGTTCAATTCTCAGCCACGTAGCTGACCCACATATAGAACAACTGACTTCTTCTGTCACACCTGCTGCTGAAATACAGCATAGGGCATTGGAAATGGACCTAAACAAATCATCAGGAAAATGTAAAAAAATAAAAACTAAAAAAAATATTTCAAAGGCAATATGTTCTGATATCTCAAAAATAATATTAAATGTAAAAGATTTGAATTCACTAATTAAAAGGTATAGAGTAGTTGAATAGATTTCAAATTTATAGTTAAAGATGGGGAAACTATTCAGTAAGCACATGGCAATAAGTAAAGCTGTCAAGAACATCTTTACTTGTATCATATAAAATTGATTTCCAGTTAAAAAGGGTGACAAGATGTAGAGATATTTATTGCATTGTGATTAAAAACCTAATTAAATTAAACATTATAAATAATATACAACAAATGATGGAGCACCACACTATATTGGACAGTTATAAATAGAAGTAAAGAGAGATATGGTAAATTATACCTTGAAGATTTTAATACTCTACTTACAACTGCAGGAAAATCAATAAAGTAAAGTATATATTAAGAAATAATAGTCTTAAATGTGGAGCTATCCCATCAATAAAACAGGTCACATAGAAATCAATGCACACATAATTTTCAAGTGTGTATCGGGCAAAATCAAGAATCAGCCATATGTTGGGAGAGAAGTCAATTGTCAATAAAACTACAAATATTAAAATCTTATCTAGAAAGCATTATTTTTTACCATAATGCCTTCAAGCTAAAGAACAACTATCTTAAAAAAAAAAAAAGATATGATTAGAGGGAGACAAAGCAAATGCTGCTCCATAAGTATTGGAATAAAGATAAAATTAAGGAAGAAATAAGAAAATATTGAAACTAGTGCAAATGAGTACACAAACTGTCAGAATGTATGGGATACAGCAAAAGTAGTCATAAGAGGGAAGATTAGGCGTCTCCCTGGTGGCTTACAGGGTAAGTCTCAGTTCTATCACTGATGGCCTGTGCTTGATTCCTGGCCAGGGACCTGACCCACATGGTACAGTAGAACTCTCCTGTTCCACTACTGTTTCCCTCAGTAATATATATTTCAGCAGATCTGCCTATTCTGTTCCCTACACTGTCTCTGGTGAATCCTCTCACTCTCTGCACCTCTGACCTACATCCTAGTTCTATATAGAAATAAATAAAGAAATAATAAAAGGAGGGATGGTAATTGCAATTCAGATCTATGTGAAGAAACAAGAAAAATCCCAAATAAACAATTCAAGACTACTTAAAAGGCCCCAAATAGCCATGCCAAACCTGACAAAACGGGAGAAAAAGATGGAAGCATCTTGTTATCTAACTTTAAACTACTCTATAAAAATAATTAAAGCAATATAGTATTAAATAAAAATAGACACATGAATAAGTGGAAATGACTTAACAGCACAGATACAAATATGTATACATACCAATATACTTATCAATACTTAAATTCATGATAAAGAAACCATGACCATACAATGGGGAAAGGGGAATGTCTAGTAAGTGGTATTTGATAACCTGGACTGTTATGTAAAAGAAGGAAGTTGGATCACTTTCTAACTCCATGTACAAAAATAAAGTAAAAATGGATTAAAGATTTATAAAAACAAAACAAAAACCCTATAACAATGAAATATATGAACAGTTCAGTGATTCATCATGACATCAATGATAAAGATGACTTTAGAGATGTGTCCCTTATTGTAAGGGAACTAAAAGCAAAAATATGCACTTGGAGTTACTCAAGTTAAAAAAATATTTTACAGCCCTCCCTAGTGCACTACTGGTTAGTCCATAGCACTGCAAACTGGCCATAGCTGCTCTGGTGTGGTTCGATACCTAGCCCCAGAATTAATCCATATGGCAGTGCAGACCTCATCTGTCTCTTTCACAGCTCCATTAAGCAGTGCTCTTCTTTGATCAGCCTACTCTGCTCCCCACTCTGTCTCTGGTGAATCTTCTCATGACCCTGCATCTTTGGCCTATACCCCAGTTCTGTACCTAAATAAATCTTTAAAAATATTTTAGACTGTGATATAAAATAAAAGTAGATTGAAAATGAATGACACACAATGCTCACACATTGCACACCTAATAAGGTGTTAACATTCAAAATATAGAAAATAACATATTCAATTTAACAATAAAAAATATTAATGAGCCGCAGATATGAATACATAGTCCCCCAAATAGGAAATAAGTGTTATTATTTCTTTTAATAAGGAAGATGGAGCTCAGAACCACAATGAAATATCACCTCACACCTTTTAGAAAGGTTCATAACAAAAAGATGCCCAGAAAGTTCTGCGGAGAATGCAGAGAGAAAGAAGCCTTGTTGGTAGCAATGTTAATTGGTACAGATAGCTTGGAAAATCATCTGGATTTCCTTTATGCACCTAAAAATGGAAATACAATATGACCCAGCAGTCCCACTTTTGGCATCTATTTAAAGATGGCTTAACTAAAACCATCGATCAAAAATTATACATTCTAAATTGCTTGTTGTACCATTATTTATAATGTTTAGGATGGAAACAATCCAAGTGTCCACTGATCAAAGATTGGTGTAAGAAGAAGTGGTCTATTCATACAATGATGAAATATATGCAAACATGAGGAAAGAAAAACTTTGCCATTATACAAAAATGGAAGGATTCTGAGGAAATTATGTATAGTAAAGGAAGTTGGTATAACAAAGACAAAATTGGCTGTTTACATAGAAGATGACTTCATAGAATAAAATAATTAAAAAAAACTAGCAGACACTAATTAACAAAGTGAGGCTTCTGAGGTTCAGAAGGATGGAACACAGAGAGAGGATTAAAGGCATGCAAAGAATAAAGGTGAGAAAAAATATTATTTTAGAAAAAATGTGCTTTTCTGGAAATGAAGCACAGTGGTAAGTTCTAGATTCAGTTTCAAAGGTTGTTCACAGAATAGGTTCTCTGTAAAATCATAATCATTTCACAATATTATCTTCATCATTTACTCCTAGTTTTGAATTTTTTAATTAAAATAGTCACTGCAAATGACTTTTTAGAATGAGATAATCTTTAAATAGATGATAGAACAAGTTAAATTGAACAATTTTTCAACAATGATAATATTAAGGCATTTTCAGTGATTGAAGATTTTTCTGATTATGTACCTTTAGTTCCACAAAAGTATGTATCTAGTCTTTCAATTATTTTTAGCAATGAAAAAGTAGTACTGTAGCTAAATATTTTGAGTTCAGCTAAATAGTAAAAATGTTGTGCTTGAGAATATTTACTGACCTGTGTTATTGCTGGTTTGCCTTCATATCTTTTTTGTGTAAAACATTGTGAAATAAGGTCAGCAGCCTTTTCCAGTGTTGTTTCTTCTGGAATGAGTTTTGGTGGTAGCATTTTGTCCCATGGAATAGCCTCATAAGCTCTATGAATTTATTAAACAATGACATTTTACAAATAAATGTATTTATTTGGTATAAATCTAATGAGAGCATTGTGATGGTATGCAGACTTAAAAAGTACTCTTTTAAGATTTCTGCCCTCTCGTTTATACATACATAATCACCTCCCCCTTTACCATAACTAGACAAGAGTATGTTAATAAAACAGTCCTGAGATACTTTGCATGCAACTTGACATGGCGAAAGGGATCATGCACAATAGGTCCTAATCAGGTGAATCTAGGTAATCAAAGGTGGATTATCAAAAATGTGTCTGACCTAAACTGGTGAGCTGCAAAGAGACAAAAAAGGTACAAAGATACTCTTAAGTTATCCTCTTTGTTTCTTTAGAACTAATTGTGTGAGTACTACAACTATAATAAATGGAGTTCTGCCAAATATCTAAACAATTGTGTAAGCTGATGACCTAGCCTCAATTTACACTTTGACTCTAGTCTTAAAGCTCTGAGTCTTGAATCCATCTGGGCTTTACCTGGACTTCTGACCTACAGAACTGTGAGATAATACATAGGTATGATTGAAAACCATCAAATATTTACTCTGCTACACAACAGCAGCAAACTAATTCATGTACTTATACATATCTTACAGTATACCAAACCTTTCATTTGAACTTCACAGGAAACCAAGAAGACCACTAATTTACAATTACCTAAGTTATAATTTAGAAAATTGTTTTTTTGTTTGTTTGCTTATTTGTTTAAAGTCACTTAGCTATTTTTGTTGAGACAGGACTAAAATCTAGATTACCCATTTCTGGAGAGCCAACAATATTACCACTGTTTCATACCACTGCAACTAAGTTCTACAAATAAAGCACTCCAGCCATCTTAGTAAATTCAGTAATTATAAACATAAGGATTTGGGTTTAAAAACTATCATCTTGCACTTGGAGTTTTGAAAGTTACTATTATTTTGACAGATTTACATGACAAAAGCTGTGGAACAGGTTCTAATTTGATCATTCATAAAAACAAACAGCCCTCATTCCAGTGTCTCTGAATTGAAAAGATTTATGACTAGACTGCCCAAGAGGATATGATCCTGTTTCTGCACAGTCTTAACTTAGTACAAAAGCTTCCTCCCTCCGCCTCCCTCCCTCCCTTCCTTCCTTCATTTCCCCCCTTCCATATTAGTTTTTCTTGAGTTCACATTTTCTAATATTGTATATGATTTAGAGGTGTAGGTTCACACCAATTCAAATGTATGTCATCTCATCACACCCACTACCAAAGCATTCATAGTTTTCCACTAGTATATTGGGTCCCTGTTCCCTTTGCATGCTACACTTTCATACTAGATATCTCAGTTCTATGGTCATATTTTCAGGTTTTGTATTGATTCACTTTTGGTCAGCCAAATATGGTGATTCTACCATATGATCCAAAAATTCCACTCCTAGGTATCTACACAAAGAATGAAAAAACAATAATTTGAAAAGATCCATAAGCTCCTATGTTAAGTTAGAATACCCAAGCTATGAAAACAATCTAAGTGCCTAATGACAGGTAAGTGATTAAGAAAATTTGACATGTATGCACAATGGGATAATACACAGTTGTAAAATGATAATATCTTGCCATTTGCAACAACATGGATGGGACTATAGAGGGTTATGCAAATTGAAGTAAGTCAGGAGGAGAAAGAAAATACTGATATTTTCCTTCTGCACTCTGGCCATATTTTTCCAAGTAATGCCACTGTTAGTCTATATCAGTTTGTAAAGTTAGAATTAACAGTGATTATTATTTCCTCAATAAAAAATATTTATACATCACAGTTATTTCAAACACTGTGCTAGGTTCATAGGATTAAAGATGTGGTCTAAAATAAATAAAAGTATCTATTACATAGAAAATGTTGTAAGTTTCAATTTACTAGTATCAGTTAAGTTAAACTGCACAGTGATGGGTCCATAGTATTTTCATTGTGGTGTACACATTTTCAGTTTACACATTCTTCAATTACTGTGCTCTAAAGAAAAGCTAGATCTAGGAATATGTATTTAATTGTAGGAAAGATTAAATTGGTGTTTTTTTTTATGACATTAAATCTGAAGTCACTGTGCTAAGAAGTTAATCTGTGAGTTGAACCACAGCATAAAAGACATTGTTTGAACCTTAGCTATATTCGGTGAGTATTTTGTATAGAGGTTATTTATCTTCCTAAGAAAAATTTTATGAAATTATTTTGAAGAATGGTTATTTGATTTATTTGTTTTGTAAAAATCTGCTGTTTTTAAAGTATAATGACATGACCTGTTCCTAAGATGACCACTCTAATATTTTCCTTATTAAATTATATTTTTGTAAGATCTTGTTATTGTCATTTAGAGACACCTTAAACATACAAGATAAGAATTCTCAATAAAGCATGAACCCAAAGGCATGAACTCTAAAAAAACCATTCTTTAGGGGTCAAGTCCTTCATTTTCAAGATTAATAAACTGATATCTAGAAACACTGGAAGATACCAATGTGTCCTTTTCTGCAGGAAGACGTGTTTGGGGTCTTTTTGTATGCAATTAATGACTTATTTAATGGTCTTTTATCAAACTGTTCTAGGATTTTGAAATTCAACTGCATATCATGAATTTATTCATATTTTTTAAAACCTTATGGGATAATATTTGTTAATTATGTGTTTTTCATGAAATTAAATTTGGTAATGGATGTGCTTTCAATTTGAATGCCAAAAAAATACAGAAGTTGAAATGTGAAACATGTCACATGTATAAAACACCAGAGATAAGGAGGATTGTGGTCAGACAAAAAGTGCTTTGCTGTTGATTTATATCCCTCTATTCTCATTGCTGTTACTGCCTCTACATCTACTTCTCCACACTCTCACTCTAATGACTTCTAAATCTATTGGTGAATTCCAATCATCCATTACAGGACCTCATGTTACTTGGTTGATTTGCATAATATCAAATTGTTCACCACTCTCTTCCCTGTATTACTTTTTAAATTTGCTTTCCAATCACTTCATACCTATCTGTGAGCCATGATACCTGGAATTATTTCTCCCCCTACCCCAAGACTTCTTCAAAATTCTAGATCAATATACCCTATTGAATGCTTTAAATGTACACCTGGATGGTTAATTAATATGTTTCTACTCATCACATCTAAAATTTACTTCTGACCTTTCCCTCCAAGCCTGCCATACCTGCCTTCAATGTGTTACATAATGTCAACATCTAGTCTATCTAGCTGCAATGCCCAACGTTTTCGAATCTTTCTTTCCACCTCTGTCCAACTTATTATTGCCTATCTAGAAATTGTACTAGTTCTACTTCAAAATATGTTTTGAAGACTTTCTACATTCTCCTACAAGTCACCAATATTTTTGACTCAGATAGCAGTAACCTCTGAAAAAGTCTTCCAGATTGTCCTTAGAACATAACAGCAATAATTTGTGCTATTATTGAAATTTGGTGCTAAACTCTCACTTAATTGAGATTAAAAATATTTGTATTTACTATTTGCTTAAAGCTCTGAAATGTTTGTTGCTAAGTCCCCTTGAGCATGTTCTGACCTCTTCTTTTGTTCTCTTCTCTGCTCCAAGCACTCTGCCTATAGTCTTTTACACACACCTTAAACACACTTTGAGAAAGATATTGCTTTTGATAACTTCTGCTGGAATATAAGCAGTTCAGATATCGGTACACCACACCCTGCCTTCTGAGTTTCTGTTCAAATCTCAACTTCATGGACACCTAAACAGAATTCTTATTTATTGCTGTGAACTGCACATGGCACTCAGATCTTATCCTGCTTTCTGAATGAATCTGTCATAGATTCATCACCAAAGTTATGAGTTATTTCCCTAATATATTCTGTTGCTTATTGTCCATCTCCCTTTAGAATGAGAACCCCCTCAGAGGAGTGATCTTTCTCCACTTGACTCATGGATGTATCTCAAAGCCTAGGATATAGACACATAAAAGGTAATGAATACATTTTTGATAAACTGAATGAGCTTTCCTCACCCATGCTTCTCCTGCTATTGTTTTCTATGTTCAAAGAATTATTTTTCCTTTTAATTTTGTTGTTGCATTAAATAAATATTCACTTTATGACTCTTCTTTGAATGGTTTACGTTAGCAATCTATTAAGTAAGTAAATATTCAGAGCTGATCACTGAATTACTCATAGGATCTTGAATATAAAGGGAAAGACATAAAGGGACATAAAGGGAAAGAATCATTAAAGAAGAGGAAATTCATTTTTAATTCAAAATTATATTGGGGAAAATGCTTACTTTTGTGTAGAGGACTTGTAAAATGAGTCATTCGCATTATATTTCTTGCTTGCTTGTTTGAGTGATTCCTCGTCATCCTAAAAAGCATGCAAAATACATTAAAATGCCAGATGTAAGTGGGGATTTCTAATGTTTTCTATTGACAGTGCTTCCTCTGTCACCTCTTCTTTCTTTATCTTCTTTCAGAGCACCTGGATTTATCAGTTTTAATGCTCCCCACTTCTTCTACTTTATTGGGAATTTGCATTTTGTGTAGAGCCTCCAGGGTCCTTTGCACACTAAGGAAGAATTCACTGGAGACTGCTAAGTGTACTTGAACCAGAAAAGACTTTATTAGAGAGGCTCATACATGAGGCAGTCAGTGTAGGAAAGGAGAACGTAACCTGACTCTTCTAAGGGAGTTAAGAGTTATTTAAAGTAAATTATTTAAAGGGTAAGTCGCTTGTGGATCCTCATCTAAGGTAAATCAGGGCAGAGGAGAACAAGGTTGTAGGTTGTTCTGAATTGGGCTATCACTAGGCACATACAGATAAGGTATATTCCAACTCACATTTGGCCTTTTGGCCTTCTCCTTCCAAGAAATTGTGAGGTAATTAGTCAGGACCTAATACTTTTTGTCTATCACAGTGACTTATAATCATTGTGTTGGGCCAAATGATTTGGACTAGCCTCACCAGTCCGTGATTTGCCTTCTTTTTCAAATAAGCATTGAGGCAACTCATTCTACCAGCTCCCAATTCTTTTTACCTAGACTGTCTCCCTGCATCCCATTTGCTTTTCCTTTTCTGGTTTATTGTTCCACTCTTTTTTGCTTATGTGCAGTTTCATCAGTTCTTCCTAGTATGTGACTTTCTTTTAGGTCTACTTTTAGATCTGACTTCACTGGGCTCTCCCTGGTGGCACAGTTCGTTAAAGCACCGCACTAAGAAGCTAAAGCCACTTCAGCATGAGTTCAATCCCTGCTCCGGAGGTGATCCACATGGCGCGCAGACCTCTCCTGACTCGCCCACTGCTCCCCTCAGCAGTGTACTTCATTGATCTGCCTGTTCTGCTCCCCACTCTGTCTTGGGTGAAGTCTCTCACCACCCCCACACCTTTTGCCTGTACCCCAGTTCTGTATGCATAAATAAATAAATCTTTAAAAAAATCTGCCTTCACTTTTGAGTAATGATCTAGTTGGGTTAAATATCTGAATGAAGGGTTATGATTATGTAGCATATTATTGTTTTACTAAATTACTGTTTTTATATTTGCTAATACTTTGTAAAGATTTTTATGTGCCTATATATAAGGCATGTTGATATGTAATTTACTCATTTTTATAATATCTTCATCTGACTTTCTAATACAAGGTTAATTTAGACTCACACTAAGAAAATGTTTCTTAAATAAATTATGTGACTGATGTGATTTATTCTTAAAATGTTGATAAAATCTAGCAGTAAAATCATCTGAGTCTGGAGTTTTCAGTGTGGGAAAATATTTGATAAAAGAAAATTTTAATTATTTATATATTGTATTTTATCTATATCAACTTTTGTATTTTTAAGGAAATTTATTCATTCAATCAAAGATGCCAAGTAAATAAATCAACATGTAATAGTTTAAAATACTCCCTTATTTATCTTTGAGAATAAATTAGCAAAATCTTTTTAATTTCCTATATTGGTATATACATTATTTTCCTTGATCATACTGTTAATTGAAAATAGTTGAAGTGTTTATTAGATCATTAAGTGAAGATTTGAACCCAGGAAGCAGTCTGCAAATTTCACTCTGTAAGAGCTTTTCTAATAAACATGGGCTTAAATTTAGTTTATATGTAGGAACAGTGATATATTGAAATTAATACTGTCAGTAGGAGAGATTTCTAGTTCTAAGACATACAGACCAAAAGATATACTGAGGTTAGAGGAAGACAATAGAGGATTAAATTACTTCCTTCCCAAAGTCTACACATTGTTCAGTGTTTTTAATTTGATTCCATGTTAGGCAGTGGCTAACAAGTGTTCTTTCCTTCAAGCAGTAGTTTCTGGCATATGCAATATGACAGAGACTGTTCACACTGTAATTCAATGAGAATGACTTTGCTCTCTTGTCTGCTAGAGTAGGTAGTGGGTGTTTCCATAAAATTTTGTGATAAATTCACAATGCTATGGGGTAGTCCTCCAAAGGGTCACATAGATTTTCTCAAGAGATTCATAATAGTTTCCTTGACACCTTGTTATGGGAGATAGAAGTCAATTAAAGCCTTGTGAGAAAGAGTGATTTCACCAACATAGCAGCAGCAAAGAGCTATTGGGATTAAGTACTCTCATAGCAACACTCAATAAGGGAGAGATTGCAGCAAGTTTCTGGTAGGACCCAGGCATTTGGACAGGATAGGTGACCCAAAAGATTAGGATGAAGGTGAGAGCAATGGAGAAAGAGAGGAGAGATATATATCAATCGGGACCTTTTCTTCCACCCCACCCAAAAATTCAGAACACTTCAACCAGTGAAAGAAAAAGAGGAGATAAAGTTTTCCTGTTGAAAGCATCAGGAAAACACTGACTCATATAAAAATTTCAGAAGGTGTAAAAAAGTTCAGCAGGTTAATTCATGTGGAAGGGAGTGGGACTCCAGCAGTTTCCAAGACTAAGACTTGGAATTGAGCTGAATTCAACTGGTGATTGTTGAGCAGGTATGAGAACTGCAGGAATGAAAATGTTTAGCCCACATGTCACAGTTGGAAACCAGGCAGGGGCATGGTTGCTTCCACAGGCACATGACCCATGACATAGTCAGAAGCCAGGCAATAGCAGGTGACTGACAATGCAGCAAGTGAGAAATTCCCTACCACAGGTGGAAGCAGGTCTGGGTATTGCCACCACCGAGAGTGCACAGCTCCCTGCCATAGTTGGAAGCTGAGCTGGGGTGTGATCACAACCATGACACATGTCTCCCAGCCATAGTAGGAAGAGGAATAGAGGTGTTGTCACCACCACCAGTGCTCAGGACCCCACCATAGTTGGAAGCTGGACTGGGGTGTGTGTCCACTGCCAATAGGAACTCACAGCCCCCTGCCACACTTGGAAACTGGGCAGAGTAGAACTGCGCCACAACTAAGAGTGTGTAACCCCCAGACACAATTGGAGGATAGGAATCTGACCATCCCTCCTGGGGTTGAGGAAATACAGAGGCAGAGACAGCACCCATCAATAGGCCCACAGCATCATTACACTTGTGGAATTTTGGGACATTAGTGCTAGAACGAATCTGACAGAGTTCTTGACATGCCTAAATGAGCACCTGGAAGAAACACCAGACAATACCAGAAGCATAGTATCCCATCACATAGAATTCATTAGAAAGTATATGACAGGGAGAAGAAAAAAATACAAATAACCAAGCAAGCCTTCAGGGAAAAGACACACCACAAATATAAAATCATTTATCAGAACTCAACAAGGACATAGGAAAACATTTCTGCCTGTCAGAGAATTTAGAATCATCATGATGAAAAAACATAAAGAAGATGACAATAGATGGCCAGATTAAAACGAGGTGGTACATATACACAATAGAATATTACTCAGCAATCAAAACAGATAAACTCATGTCTTTTGCAGCAACATGATGGAGCTAGAAGGGATCATGTAGTGAAATAAGCCAGAAAGAAAAAGAAAAAGAATGGATGGTTTCACTCATAGCGGGAGTATAAGAGAACTGGGGGGGGGGGAACTGTAATAAAGTAAAAATGAAAAACTATAAACCAGAGACATTTATGTGGCTGGAGAGGGGAATGAGATCAAACTGGGGTGGGAAGAGTGCACAGGACTAATGTGATAGCACACGGGTGAATTGGTGGTGGGAAGTCCATAGGGATTACATCGAGATGAAAAATATGCAAAAAATGAAATAGGACATAAAAATAAATCAATTAAAATAAAATTTTAAAAAGAAGATGAAAAGGAAAACAATGATATGAGACAAATAATCAATGAACTGAAGAACAAAAATGAGTCCTTAAGAAAGGGAATAAGAGAAATATAAGAGATTAAAAGATTATTAGAAGAAGGGCCCTTCCTGCTAGTGCAATGGGCTAGAGCACAGCATTGCAAGCTAGCTGCAGCCGCTTCAGTATGAGATCAATCCCTAGCAGACCTCTCCTGACCTGCCTGCTGCTCCCCTCACTAGTGTACTTTGTCGATCTGCCTGTTCTGCTCCCCACTCTATCTCTGGTGAATCCTCTCGCTGCCCCTGCACCTCTGGCTTGTACCCCAACTCTGTATGCATAAGTAAATAAATCTCTAAAAAAATGATCTAGCATGGAAAATCAATAAAATTTTAAAATAAAAAAAAACAGATTATTGGAAGAAATAAAGAACTCTTGGAAAAACAATGAGAATACAAGGAAACGGAAGAACAAATAAGTGTTCTTGAAGATACAGAAATAAAAAGAGTTCAAGACAAAAAGGAAAGAGAAGTAAAAAGGAAAATAGACATATAAGAAGTGAGAAGAACATCAAATTTCCATAATGAAAGGGAAAAGACACAGAATAGCAAAGCTCCCCAAAATCCAAGACAAATTAAACATAATGAAGCTGATGAGGGGGAAGAAACAGGTAACATATTGATATGAGACTTCTCAGAAGAAACACTATAGATAAGAAAAGAATGGAAGGACATATTCAACAAAATCCAACACAACAAATGTGAACCAAGAATACTTTATCTTGCAAAGCTTTCTTTCTTATATGAAGAAAAAATAAGAAACTCCCCAGACAAACATAAACTCCAGAAATTCATTTTGACTAAATCTCCTATTCAAAATATCATACAAGAAATCCTAAAGCCAAAAACAACAGAGGAATGAACAAAAATAATAGAATAAGGCAGGGAAAATACTACAAAAAGACAATGAGTCACAGGCTTGATTAAAAATCAAAATCCAACCATCTGATTGTCTCCAGGAAACAAACTTAACCACAAAAGATCAACATAGACTGAAAGTGAAAGGTTGGAAAACAATTCCACAAGGTGATGGAACACAAAAGAAGGCAGGAATAGCTATACTCCTATCAAATGAAATACACTTCAAACTAAACGTAAAGACGGAGATAAATATGGACATTACATTATAATTAAGGGGACAGTATATTAGGAAGATAAAACACTCATTAACATAAACTCACCAAATGAAGGAGCACCAAAATATATAACAATTATTATCAATTCTGAAAACAGTCATCTGAGAAAATACATATATAGTAGGAGACCTCAACACCTCACTCTCACCAATGGGCAGATCAAGAGACAAAATAATAGACAGTAAAGCCCTAAATAAAGACCTAGACTTCGTGGACTTAACAGAAATCTACAGGACACTGCACCCCAAAAAATCCAAGTACCTATTTTTCTCAAGTGCGCATGGATTATTGTCCAGAATCAATCACACATTGAACCACAAAACAAATGTCAACAAATAAATAAGATCAAAATCATTCCAACAATATTCTCTGATCATAAAGTCATCAGAGTAGAAATAAATCATGAAAAGAAAATGAGGAACCTACCAACTTCATGGAGATTGCAATCCACACTACTAGACCATTGAAAGAAGAAGGAAAAAAAAAAAAACTTTAAGATAAACGGCAATGAACACACCACTTTCCAGAATGTATGGAATGCAGCAAAAGCATGAGTAAGAGGAAAGTACATAGCAATACAGTCTCAAATTAAGAAATATAAATAAGCTCAAAGAAAAAAAAAACTAATCTCCAATTCCAGACTATAAAAATAATAAAATAATACCTCAAAAATCAGTAGAAGAAAGGAAATAGTACATAGCAATATGGGCTATCAAAATAGCAGTACTACTACAGTACTGGAACAGGGTAAAAGGCACATCTCACTGTTAGTGGGTTCTCACCCACGCCCCAATTACAAGAACTCTCAAGCCCAGGTTCCAACAACAATAGGATTTATTTGTAAAGGAAAGAGTTTCCAAGGCCACAAGAAGCCAACTCTCTCATCCCAGTATTCAGAATAAAGTCCACCCATGGAAGACGAGGTGACATAGCAGCAGTCCCTGTTCTTGAACATTACATTTTAAAAAATATTTTTTTAAAGATTTATTTCTTTGTGCATACAGAACTGGGGTGCAGGCCAGGGGCTCAGGGGCGGTGAGAGGCTTCACCAGAGACAGAGCGGGGAGCAGAACAGGCAGATCGAAGAAGTACACTGCTGAGGGGAGCAGCAGGCGGGTCAGGAGAGGTCTGCCACAACATGTGGTCACTTCTTGGGCAGGCGGGAATCGAACTCATGCAGAAGCAGCTTTAGATTCTCAGTGCTGTGCTTTAACCCGCTACACCACCAGGGAGGGCCACATTTTAAAAGATATTTATGGAAATTATTTGGAACTTATTTTTTTCCAAAGAATTTTTTTCTTGTATTTGCCTGATTCCTTGGAATGATTACCTAGTATAATCTTAATACTGGCTCAAGATTTGAAATTTATCATTTACTTGTATTATGTCAGACTGTAGTCTGCTCAAGGCCTTTTTAGTACTGATCTACTCCTACTTCTAAGGTATGAGAGTTCAGATATCCAGCTAGAGATTTTCAAAGATCAATTTCAACTTTTTATATTTTATATCTACTTAAATATAAAAGGTTCCATTCAGTTTTAGTTTCTCCTTCAAAATAACAAAATCCTGTAAGACCAAAGTGAGCCTAAGTGATAGGCTTAAATTTAAGACTTTCTATCCTCTCAATGGTCTAGTAATTTCTCTAGGACTTAATAATATTTTGATAATTTGATAAATATATATTAATCTATTTTCTTAGTTGTAAGTATCTCACATTTCTTTGTTATTTGTAAAATACCATCCAATTTATTTTGTCACTAAAAGCCTAAATTTATTGATAATTTCAATAAGCATTCACACTAAAAACTCTTACTTTTGAACACTAATTCTAAAATAGTTACCTAGATAAAACACAGAGTCTTGCTGTATATTTTCACCAATGCCTTCAATTTCTTATAATGTCTGTTTTTTTTTCCCTAAAGATTTATTTGTACATGCAGAGCTGCGGTACAGGCCAGAGGCTCAGGGGTGGTGAGAGGCTTCACCAGAGACAGAGTGGGGAGCAGAACAGGCAGATCGAGGAAGTACACTGCTGAGGGGAGCAGTGGGTGGGTCAGGAGAGGTCTGCCATGCCATGTGGTCACCTCCAGGGCAGGCGGGGATCGAACTCATGCAGAAATGGCTTTAGCTTCTCAGTGCAGTGCTTTAACCCGCTGCACCACCAGGGAGGGCCAATATAATGTCTGTTTTTAATTGCTTTAATTGACTTTTCCATAGGAACAATATGTTCTTTAAAAAGAGGCAGGAGATGGAATAAGTAACTAAACTAGTAAATACAAATTTCCTTTACTTTTGCAACTAAATTTAGCCTTTTATGTGAATCTGGAATAGCTTATACCAGAAATGATTATTCCCATTTCTAATGTTATGTTTTTCTTATAAAGATAATTCATAGACAGGAAGGTCATGAAGCCTTGTTATAGCTGTAAGTCATCTTGACAAAAGGTAACATGTATTTTAAATAATTTTTTTTGTTCCATAGTCATGAACCATAGTGTGAGTGATGATTGTGGGAATGACCCACTCCCTTTATGGTATGATTAGAAGGGACAATTTTGAAGAGAAAGTAGAAATGTAAATTAATCTGATCCATAACTGCAAATAAATTCTGCAGCTCAATTTAAGGAAAGAGTACATATAGGAATTATAGAAATGGAAACTAACTCCTTAAAAATATTCTTGTCTTTAGTGCTAATGCATATGGGGTTTCTTATTTGGATCATACAAATATTTTAACATTATTTTCAGATTATAGTTGTACCATCCTCTGAATATCTTTAAAATGAATCATTTTAAAACTTTAAATGGGGTGAATGGGTTAATTTATGGTATGTGCAGTATATCTCAATGAAGATATTTTGCACAAAATACTTGTCATATCTGTGTATCCCTTATTAGGCCTTCATGTAATCTAAATATCAAGGGTTTATATACTATCAGGTAAACATAGAAAAATGACCGAGAACATAATTCTTAAACTCAGAAAGTTACCTAGATTTCAACTTAGGTTTCACATTTACTGTAAGATCAAAGTCAGTTACTTAATATCACTTGGATTCAGCTTTCTCAAATAAAATAAGTGAAAATAATGCTATCAAATCCAGAAGTAGAAAGAAAACAAGGATTCTTGCTCAATTGATTTTATGGGAGCACTGTTGGTGAAGAATAGGATGAAACAAGGAAAAGAAGCAGTGAGGATATGGTTTCAGCTGAAGATTAACTTTAGCCTATTTCTTCAAGAGCTCAGGAATTGCCCGATATCTCAGGGGGACAGTTTGGGAGAATGTAGTCCTCCAAGGTGGTAGTGGATGTTCCTCACTGCTAGTGGGAGAGGGATACACTTGACAATCAAGGCATCTAAATTGGGCGCAATTTGGGTCTACTTCGATGAAGCTAACTGTGCAGTTACTTGAAGAAATGAAGAGTGCCTGCACAGAAATACTTAATTATGGCAGCTGTTTTATATGTGATAAAATATACAGTCAGGAAAATGAATTATAAATATTGTATAACATTATCCAATAGGAAAATCTTACTGTATATGTTGATTTCTCAGCAAATGCATGTATGTGATTTATTGGGCACTCTTCATGCTGCATTTGTGAAGGTATAACTTTCAGTGGGCTTGTCCAACCTGAAAATAAAACAGCATGTGTTTTGAGTTAAAAATGCGATAGAGGCCCTCCGTGGTGGCGCAGCGGGTTAAAGCACAGCTCTAAGAAGCGAAAGCCACTTCCGCATGAGTTCGATCCCCGCCTGCCCCGGAAGTGACCACCTGGCGTGGCAGACCTCTCCTGACACGCCTGCTGCAGTGTACTTCGTCGATCTGCCTGTTCTGCTCCCCACTCTGTCTCTGGTGAAGCCTCTCACCCTCCGCATCTTTGACGTGTACCCCGGTTCTGTATGAATAAATAACTAAGTCTTTAAAAAAATGCGATAGAATTTTCTTTTTTCATCAGAAATATTTCCTTCAGAAAGTTAGTCTTTCTGAAGATTAATCAGAATTAATATAACTTACAATATTAGTCAATTTTTAATAGATTATCTAATTTTCCTCAGTATTGAGAATAGATTTGGAATTTACTTGTTAATATTTCATGATGCATAATTTGTAATTTATTCTTTTTGGAAAAGATTTGTTGGGTACAATGAATCTGCTTATATGAATGCAGTATCAGGGATGATGGAGACAAAAAAGTTTGGTTACTATTCAGATAATTCATCTAATGATAGAAGTCTTAACAGACTAGTTAAGCAACTTTCAGTAAATATTTCTTGACCACAAATGGAAATGAATTAATGTGTATACAAAAAGATAAAGCAGATTGCCTGATTTTGAGCTGCTCAAAAACAAATGGAAAATAAAAATATGTTAACAGAACATATGCTAGTAGAAAATTTTAACATAGAAGGATTTAGCAACTGTAATAATAGTTGCGCTCTAAGTACTGTGAGGTTGCAGAGGATGGATATCTGAATCAGATTGTAAGGATTCATCTTCTCTAAGATAACACCTGATCTAATCTTGACAAGGACAGTCATTATAATCTTAGTAATTATAATGTAATCTTACTTAGAAGTTACAAATAAATGGGTCTAGCTTTACCATTAAATGAAAGCCAGAGAATGTGGAAGGTGAACAAGAAGGTAGGTCAGAGTCACGAAGTCTTTGTACTTAACCAGATGATTGTTGTAATCACAGAGATGGACACTTCTTAGTCATTCCATAGGTAAACTTTTTCCTACCTCATTGGGGCTCCTATCTTATTTTTTTACTTAGCTTTGCCCCCAAATATTGATCTCACTTGGCAATAGGGAATTGCAAAATTACAATTTGAGAGTTAGGTGGACAGAGATAGATCATGAGAAGTAGATCATGAGAAGGGTGTGGGTAATGGGAGCAACATAATCATCTATAGTGCCAACTCTCTGGAGGCTCAGACCTTTCTCCACAGACCTTGTGACTGAATGAGGTATATACTATTTGGCTAAGGGGCCAGAATGACCTCTTGAATTATATGACCCACTCAATACTCAATTTCCTCACCTTTAATGACTTTTGGAGGTTTGAAATAAACAATGTATGTATATAAAGGAATTTGCAAAATTCCTGGCATGTAGTTGAAGTATGTGGCACATTTATTTAGCATGTATATCAATAATTATTGGTATCTGTGATGGAAGCTGTGATATAATTTTTATGATGAAGATAATTCAATCAATATTTGGCTAATAAACTCTAGAGAGAATCTAAAGAGAACTGGTGAAGGGGAGATGGGGAAGTGGTGGATATTGTTGACTAGAAAGGGAATAGGAGAGATTAGAGAGTGAGATGCATCACTGATGACTTTGAAAACAGAGGAGGCCACATGTGAAGGAATTCAGGCAACCCTAACAGTGCCATGAGTCTATAAATATACGTAGATTTCTCCCATCCTTTACATAAGAGCCATGAGAACCTTGGATTAGGGTAAGTAAGATATTGAAAAGAAAATTCAGGTGGATAGCCCTACACAGAATTCTGATTCAAAAAACTGTGAGCTAATACATGAGTTTGTTTTGGACTGCTAAATGAGCTATGATAAAAAGAAAAAAAAAACTAGACAATGCGGGAGGAGAGCATAATGAATTACACTGAAAGATGATGTGTATTTTGACACGTGAGGAGAGACACTCTATACTGTGAGAAAAACAATAAGCAAGGATGTTTAAAAAATAAAAGTAAAATTTAAAAAAGCAAAAGAAAATGTAGAGGTAGAAGTGAAGAGTCATGACAAGTGAGAGACGTTTTACTGAGTCATTTCAACTTTATTTTTTAGTCATTATTATATATGCATTATATACATATGTCCTCAAATATTTTATAGTGACATTTCTGCAGGCAGATTTATTTCGTTGTGCAGTTAAATCTACTGCTATTGTCTTCATGAGTTATTCTCACTTAGCTGTTTTTAATCATTTTCTAAAGAAGTTTTAAATCTCATTTGAAACATTTCCCTATGTTATATTTTTACATCATTTAATTTTTATTTTTTCCCTTATATCTCAGAGAGTGAGAGAATTCACCAGAGACAGAGTGGAGAGCAGAACAGGCGAATCTACTGAAATACACTGATGAGGGGAGCAGCAGGTGAGATAGGAGAAGTCTGCTGTGCCATGTGGGTCAGTTCCCTCGCTAGGGATTGAACCCTGCAGCAGTGACTGAAGATAGCTTGATAGAGACTTTAACCCCTGTGCCACCAGGGAGGCCCAACGTCCCACCATTTTGCTGCGAATAGCTGCATTTCATCCTTCCCTATGATTATATAGTACTTCCTTATGTGCATATACCATATTTTTTTTTGATCCAATCATCTGTCAATGGTTATTTAGGCTGCTTCTATATCCTAGCTATTATAAATAATGCTACCATATATATCATAGAACATTTAGAACTGTTCTACATCTTGATCATTTTATGTTCTTTGGAATTACAACCAAGAGCAGAGTTGCTGGATTGTACAGTGTTTCTAGTTTTAGTTTAAGGTAAATCAGGTTATTTTACATAATGGTTGCAACAGTTTACATTCCCACAACAGTATAAAAGGCAGTTGATTTTGTCAGCATTCTTTATAGCACTCTTGCATGTCTCTTATTGGGCTATTTGTTTTTCTTGTATTGTCAGGCTTTAACTGAGGTACAGGCCAGAGATGCAGAGGGTGAGAGGATTAACCAGAGACAGAGCGGGGAGTAGAACAGGCAGATCGACAAAGTACACTGCTGAGGGGAGCCACCGGCGGGTTAGGAGAGGTCTGCCACACCATGTGGTCACCTCCGGGGCAGGCAGGAATCGAACTCATGTGGAAGTGGCTTTAGATTCTCAGTGCTGTGCTTTATGTATGTGGATTTCTGGACTGTCAATTCTATTCCATTGATTCATTAACTAATTTTTATGCCAATACTATATTTTCTATTACTATTACTTTATAATATAGTTGATGTACCTCTGATTCTTTCTTTTTATTCCTCCAGGTTTGCTTTTGCGATTCAAGGCATTTTGTGTTTCCTCACACACTTAATTTTTTTTTTTTCAATTTGTATGAAACATAAATGCTGGTGGGTATTGTGCAAAATTTTAGGCAGGATAGTCATTTTAATTGATTCTCCCCATCCATGAGCATGAAATGTCTTTTCATCTCCTTATGATGAACTATATCCTCATAATATTTTATTGTTTTCACTATGTTTCATTTCTTTAATGAGTTTAATTTCTAGATACTTGCTTATTTTTGATGCAATTCTTTTTTTAAAGAAGATTTATTTATTTATGCACACAGAATTAAAGTACAGGCTAGAGGTGCAGGGCGTGAGACAGAGGGAGCAGAAAAAGTAGAGGTACTGAAGCACACTTCTGAGGGGAGCAGAATGAGTCAGGAGAGGTCTGCCACACCATGTGGGTCACCTCCCTGGCTGGGAATTGAACTCATGCTGTAGTGGTTGCAGTAGCTTCATAGTGCTGTGCTTTAACCTTTTGTGCCACCAGAGAGGGCCCCTTTGGTGCAATTCTGTATGACTTTTCTTCTTTTCCTTCTCATTCTTTCTTTTCCTTCTCATTCTTTGTTCATCCTTCTCATAAACATGTAACAGATATTTGTATGTTGCTTTTGCTCCATGTTACTTTGTTATATTCATTTATTGTTTCCAGTATTATTTTTTGTTATGTCCTTAAGGTTTCCTGTATTTTATCCTTTGTAAGTAATAATAGTTTCACTTGTTCTCTTCCAAACTGGATTTCCTTTATTTACTGCTATCTGGTTGCTCTATCCAGCATCATTAATATTAAACAGAGTGGTGACAGTGGACATTCTTGTCTTGCTCCTGATCTTAAAGGGAAGCTCATTTTTTCACCACTAAGTATTATATTGGTTGTAGGTTTGTGATATCTAATCTTTATTATGTGGAGGTAGGTTCCTTCTATTCTCACTTGCTTAGCGTCTATCATAAATGGGTGCTGAACCTAATCAACTCCTTTATTTGCATCTATTAACAGTATCATGTATTTTTTCTTTACTTTTGTTGAAATGTTTTTACACATTGATTGATGTATATTAAACAACCTTTAATCTTTACATTCCTGAGATAAATCCCAGTTGATTATGATATATAAGCTTTATGATATATGAATTTGACTTGCTAGTATCACCTTGAAAGTTTTTGCATCAGTCTTCATCAGGGATATTGCTTTATACATTTTCTTCCCTTGTGCCATCCCTATCTAGTTTTAGGTATTGTTGCCATAAAAAGAATTGCTCCCAGTAAAAAGTATTGGGGAGTATTCTCTCTCCTTGTATTTTTTTTTAAAGCCCTTTTTAAAAAAAGATTTTATTTATTTATGCATACAGAACTGGGATGTAGGCCAGAGGTTCAGGAGTGATGAAAGGATTCACCAGAGACAGAGTGGGGAGTAGAACATGCAGACTGATGAAGTACACTGCTGAGGGGAGCAGCTGGAGGGGCAGGGGATGTCTGCTGCGCCTTGTGGATTACCTCCGGGACTGGGGATTGAACTCTCACTGAAACAGCTGCTGCTAGCTTGCAGTCCTATGCTTTAACCCATTGCGCCACCAGGGAGGGTCCTCTCTCCTTGTATTTTTAAGAAAACAATTTGAGCAAGATGAGCACTATATCTTGCTTAAAGTTTAGATAAAATTTTTTGTGGAGTTTCTGTTTCTGTTTTTTGTTTGTTTTGTTTTGGAGAAGATTCTTAATTACCCTTTCATTTTCCATGTCTGTGATTAGTTTAGTCAAATCATCTGCTTCTCCCTTGGTTAGTCTGGGTAGGTTATATTGATATAGGAAATTTGCTTGTTTCTTCAAGTTATTGAACATAGTAATACAATGAACACTGGTTCATTGCGATCTTTTGTGGTTCTTTGTGTTCTGTGCTGTCTTGATGACTACTTTTTCATGTGTGATTTTATTAATGGCTTCTCTTTTTTTTTAATGTAGCTAGTGGTTTACTGATTTCCTTGAAGAACTTTTTCATTTATTTCTACACTTTATTTCCTTCCTTCTATTAAATTTGGTTCTTGCATTTTCCTTTTTTTACAAGTTACTCTAGATCTAGAATTAGATTATTTGAGACTTCCTGACTCTTATGTGGTCTATATTACAATTATCTTTTCCCCAAAGTGCTTTTGCTATATCTTATTTTTTTATGGGAACTTTTACCATAATTTCACTCATATCAAGGTTTTTTTTAATGTTTAAATTTTCTCTCTTATAAAATAGCTCTGAAACATGTTGTTTAGTTTACATGTATTTATAGAATTTTTTTTAACTTTATGGATAGTAGAGAGAATGCTAGGTATAATTTTGTTATTTGTTGTTTTATTGACAATTGACTTGTGTTCCAACATATGTTCTGTTATTGAAAATGTACCATGTGCATTTGAAATATGTATGTGATAGATTTGGGGGGATATCTATTAGTTCTACTTCATCTAGAATTGACTTAAGGCTATTATTTTCTTATATATTTATCTTGTTGATTTGTCCAATATAGTAAGTAGGAGTTCCTTTGTATTATTAGGTTGCTGTCATTCTCTCAAGTTCTGTTATTGTCTAATGTATCTCAGTTCTTCATCATTTAGTGCACATATATTTGTGTTATTTCTTCTTGTTGTATTAGACCTCTAATCAAAATACAGTGCCTTTCTTTATTCCCTAATACCTTCTTTGGAAGTCTATCTTATCAGATATAGGTGATAAAACATAACACTTGCTCTATGCTTACATATTTCCTAATTCCTTTCTTGTTCAAAAAGGGTTATATGGAGACCTACTGTGTGGGGCTTTTCATTTCTGTTATCTGTTCATTTTTTCTTACCCTCTTCCTGATCCCATGTGACTATACTTTTTCAATGGAGGAGAGGCAGGAATCATGAGCTCCACTGCTGCAACAAATAGTAGCAGCATTAGTCCTTCCTATTCCTCCACACATTATCTCTGGAGGTCTCTAGGCTATGACTGGGTCCTGGAGAACATGGTGGAAGGTGCTGTACCTCTCACACTAGGGCAGGCTTAGCATCCCTCACTACAGCATTTGGTCTTTTTTATATTCTCAAAGAGGTTCATCCCTTTTCATTTTCTACCACACACTCTTCCACACAGTAATATTCCATGTACCATTTTTTTTAATGTATTTGTCATCACTTCTGGGTCAGGCCTGAGGTCCTCTGTTAATTCTTATGGGAAACCATAAAATGCAGTTGCCCATAAGGGACATCAATTCTGTTTCCAGGGCTCTGGGAAGCTATTTTTGCAGGGGTAGCTTATATTCTGCTTTCACATATACTGGTCAAACTCCACACCCCCCAATAACCTTTCAACTACTTTTCTATTTAATCTCAGCCCCTGTAACCTAAATCTTCCTTAATCATTAATAGATTTACTTTTTCAATGGATAGAGAAAGATATGGAGAAATTCCACATGCTTACCAAAGTTACATATAACTTACTTAAATTATAGCTAGGCTAATTATATGTATAGAGTAAATTATCTCTAGTGACTTTGTGTTGGTCACATATTGTTACACATATTTTTTTATAAAACAATGTTTTACAGTTAGATTTAGACAATGCTTATTGTTCTTACTACTTTCCCCTTAGATTTTGTAATTAAGATAATTTTGTAAGATAAATTGCTAGATATTAAACATTATACCTATATATTTGTCCTATACTTAAATATTTAAAAATTAAAAAGTCTGTCTCATTTTATTTACCTCCAAGTCTTGCTCTGATGGAAGTATCTGTTGTTGCTCTGGAATTCCATCTCCTGTCCTGTTTTAGTTCTTCTAATACATTTTTTTGCCTTTTTAGTGGTGCTTGAAATCCTGAGTCTGGTTTGGGAACTCGATGTAGAGGTTTCACATCACTTATATCTGCCAGGTTTGGTATGGTTCTGCCAAAGCCAGGCTTTAAGTCTGCATCACCACCAGGACTCATAAATCCTGAACAGGAATCACCTAAGGGCACATCATCTCGAAGTGGAAATAATGGGTAATCTGGCCCATATGGTGGGGGATAAGGATAGTGTAAATGATAGTCTGGTAGGACTGAAGGGGGGAAAGGGTGAAATTTAAGAAACATAGGGTTGCATTTCTTTTCAAATCTGCTGTAGTCATGTCTGTCTTCAATACCTTTCACAAAAGGCATGTTCATTTTTCTTAAGAGATTCCAGTAGTGTGGGTAATCGATATTCTCAACAGCCTTTTTCCTTGAATGGATGAATCTTTCAGAGATACTTATCTTTCCAGGAGTGTACTGTGAATCCAAATCCATGGCTTTTCTTAGAATTTTCAATTATTGTTAATTAAGTGCTTCTTATGACTCTTTTTATTTTAAACTCTAAAACACAAATTTCCAGTAATTGAGGGTTAGTTAATATAACATAGTTATTGATTTAACTTTTTAAATGTTGATTTTTTAATATATGTATATATATATATTCCTCTACTAGAGGAAGGTATAGGACTATAAAGGAACAGGACAGGCAAAACAAAACAGAACTGTTGTTGCTTGGCAACAGTTAGAACTGTAACACATTAGGCTACTCAGTATATACATCATAATCAAATTCTTT